TACAGAATGCACAATAAACAAATCCAGAATAGACGGCAGAGTGTGTCACAACAGACACATGCATTTATTTGACGTAGCCTGCGATTTTTTTTTTTTTTACTATCTGACATCAAATACATCGTAGCATAAAAGTTCACAGTTTATTTATAATAAAAAATAAATATATTTTTAAATGTTATAAATAATTAAAAAAACGTGTTTATTGGGGGAGGGCAGGAATGTCAAATGGGAGGGCCTCCCTGAGGGCCTGTTCCTTGCATATCAGTAAACTTTAACAACGTACCAGGTAGTACTATAATAATTTGGTCAAGGCTGACATCAAAAGAATTCTGTTATAGAGCAATTGTTACTGACTTAGTGGCCCCTAAAGCATGCGCAACATACTGTAAATTGAAGGACAAATATATCCTATAAAATCCTATTATTGTTTCCGAACAAATGTTTTGCAAACAGCATGATGTCTATTATCATAATTGCATAGCATTGCATTTTTATTTAAAGGTGGGTTCGTTTGGTTGAAACATTTCGGTCTGAATTGAGCTCAGTTTACATTACATTACATTACATTACATTGCATTTAGCTGACGCTTTTATCCAAAGCGACTTACAATAAGTACATTCGACCAGGAAGACACAACCTTGAAGAAAACAGAATCATATAAGTACATCAGGTTTCATAGAGCCAAACATTTCAAGTGCTACTCAACTGGCTTTAGGTAAGCCAGTCCTTTATTAGTATAAAAGTGCTTCGTTAATAGTTCTAACGCTCGAAGTGGAGTCGAAAGAGATGAGTTTTCAGTTTGCGCCGGAAGATGTGCAAGCTATCTGCCGTCCTGATGTCAATGGGGAGCTCATTCCACCATCTTGGAGCCAGGACAGCAAACCCACGTGTTTTCGCCGATGGGAACTTGGGTCCCCCTCGCAGCGAGGGTGCAACGAGTCGTTTGGCTGATGCAGAGCGTAGTGCACGTGCTGGGGTGTACGGTTTAACCATGTCCTGGATGTAGGAAGGGCCAGATCCATTCGCAGCATGGTAAGCAAGTACCAGTGTCTTGAAGTGGATTCTAGCAGTTACCGGAAGCCAGTGAAGGGAGCGGAGGAGCGGAGTGGTGTGGGAGAATTTAGGAAGGTTGAAGACCAGACGAGCCGCTGCATTCTGGATGAGCTGCAGAGGTCGGATGGCACATGCAGGTAGACCAGCCAGGAGGGAGTTGCAGTAGTCTAGGCGTGAGATGACGAGAGCCTGGACCAGAACCTGAGTCGCTTTCTGAGTCAGCTGGGGACGTATCTTCCTGATGTTGTAAAGCGTGTATCTGCAGCAACGGGTTGTAGCAGCGATGTTTGCAGTGAAGGACAGGTTGTTATCTAGGGTCACACCCAGATTCCTTGCAGTCTGAGTCGGGGAAACAACTGAGGTGCCGATGTTGATTGTTAGGTCAAGAGTGGGACAATCTTTTCCCGGGAGGAAGAGCAGCTCAGTCTTGTCAAGGTTGAGCTTGAGGTGGTGAGCAGACATCCACTGAGAGATGTCAGCTAGACAAGCAGAGATGCGTGCGACGACCTGGGTCTCTGAGCGGGGAAAGGACAGAATTAATTGGGTGTCATCAGCGTAGCAGTGGTAAGAAAAACCATGCGGGCTAATGACTGATCCGAGCGAGTTTGTGTACAGGGAGAAGAGGAGGGGACCAAGAACAGAGCCCTGAGGGACCCCCGTAGTTAATTGACAAGGGTCGGACTCAGACCCTCTCCAAGTCACCCTGTACGGTCTTTCAGGTATGAGGTGAGGAGGGAAAGTGCAGAGCCAAAGTTTATTCGATATTATGTGCGTTCCTGAACCTGTATATTTTTCTGAATATTCTAAATTCATACATTTTGTCACAGTCTGCTCCATTATTCACCAGTAGTTTTCCATTCACCTGTTTCCCCTGTTAACCACACACACGTTTTTGCTCACTCTCTTTCTCTTCTGCACCCATTAAGATTAAGTCTATCTCACCGGGAGGACTGAGCACGTCACCTTGGGAGCGGCTAAATCAAGAACTCACTCTGTGACTTGCGGTGTCCCCCAAGGATCAGTCCTCAGCCCCACCCTTTTCACCATATACATATCCCCCCTTGGTCATGTCATCAGCCGGCATGGAATATCTTTCCATTGCTATGCTGATGACACACAGCTCTACATCAGAGCAACCCCAACCCCCTCTGCACCTCTGCCATCATCCATAATAACCACATGCCTGGAGGAGATAAAGGTGTGGATGAAGCACAACTTTCTCCAGCTAAACAGCTCCAAGACTGAAGCCATTCTTATTGGCACTCCACATCAGTTCCGTTCATCCGCCATCACCAGCATCACCTTCTCCGGTTAGAACATTCCACTCTCACCAACGGTTACCAATCTGGGAGTTAAAATGGATCCTCACCTGACCTTTGAGGCCCACATCAAGCAAATATGCAAGACCTCTTTCTACCACCTTAGAAATATTGCGAAACTCCGCCCCACACTCAGTCTGCCAGATGCTGAAAAGCTTGTCCATGCCTTTGTCTCCTCCAGGCTGGACTACTGTAACGCACTTCTCATTGGGATTCCTAGCAAGAACATCCAGAAGCTGCAATACATCCAAAACACAGCTGCTAGGATCCTGATGAGAGTGCGGAAGTACGAACACATCACACCCATCCTCAAATCACTGCACTGGCTCCCGGTCTCACTCAGGATTGACTACAAAATCACCCTCTTCACTCATCAGTGCATATATGGAAATGCTCCCTCCTACATCAAGGAATTGCTCACCCCACAAACCTCCACGAGGAACCTACGTTCAGAAAAGGCAAACCTCCTCATCCCACCAAGGACAAAACTGAAGACCATGGGAGACCGAGCCTTCTGCTCCGCTGCTCCGAGACTGTGGAATGCCCTCCCAAACCAGCTGAGGACACCACAGACTGTGGAGGCGTTCAAAAAAGGCCTAAAAACGCATCTTTTTAGAATAGCCTTTAACTAGATTTTTAAATCCCCCACATTATGCCATGCCGGCATTAATGTCACAGCTTTTATTATGTTGTTTTAATTATTTTAAAATTGTTTTTTTTATTGTTTTTGTTGTTTTGTTTCACCCTTTTTAATTTTTAATTTTGTAGCACTTTGAGTTTTGTTTACGCAAATGAAAAGTGCGCTTATAAATAAAATATATTATTATTATTATTATTAGTATTTAAACACACCCGTTGCCAGATCGTACTTTGCCTTCATGCTAGTCTTTCAGGCGTTTGTTACCAGATTGCCTACCCGGTTCCGACCCTGCCTGTCCCTGACCTGCCTGCTCTGCCTGTTCCCTGATCCTTCCTGTCCTTGGACTATCCTGCCTTGCCTGCTGTCTGACCCTGCCTGTACCTACGCTGACAGCCTCACCTGCTCCCTGACCCTCTGCCCGGCCCTGACTCACCTTCTGCCTGCTGTCCTCTGGTTCGTTTGCCTGCACATCATCCGGCTGTTCCTGTTCTGCTGGTATCCCTCTGCTCTGGTATTATTACCAATAAAGTATATTACCAATACTCCTTGGTTTCTCGAGTGCTGCATTTGGGTCCATCATAAGATTGTGACACATTTATTATGTATGAATTTATTATGGGTTGAAAACAGATTTTCTTTTAAAGGTTATTGGATGAGTTGGGAACTGATATTGCAGAGTAATGTTCCCTGTTACCTGCTCAAAATAAGCTCAACAAAACTTTACATTAACAAGTTAAACCAAGCACTTAGAAATGGTGACCCACAAGCATCTTCATAGCTTATAAATAGTTTGTACAACCATATAGGTGCTAAGGATAAATCTACTTTTTCTCTTACCCATAACCCATGGCTGTGGATAAAAGGAGACTATGCTCAAATTCAAACACTGAGTAAGTGCATTGAACAAATCAATGACTGGATGTGTCAGAACTTTCTCCAATTGAACAAAGATAAAACTGAGGTAATGGTTTTTGGAGCCAAGGCAGAACGTATAAAAGTTAGCGCTGAGCTTCAGTCTGCAATGTTCAAAACAACAGATAAGAAATCTAGGTGTAGTCATGGACTCTGACCTGAGTTTCAACAGTCACATTAAAACAGTTACTAAACCAGCCTACTATCACCTAAAGAATATATCTAGGATTAAAAGACTAATGTCACAGCAGGATTTGGAAAAATGTGTCCATGCTTTTATCTTCAGTAGACTCGACTACTGTAATGGTGTCTTCACAGGTCTCACTAAAAAAATCCATTAGAAAGCTGCAGCTGATTCAGAACGCCGCTGCTCGAGTCCTCAATAACACTAAGAAAGTGGATCACATCAGTCCAGTTCTGAAGTCTTTACACTGGCTTCCTGTGTGTGGAATAATTGATTTCAAAATACCGCTGCTGTTTTATAAAACATTGAATGGTTTAGGCCCAAAATATTTTTCTGATCCGCTGTTAAATGATGAACCATTCAGAACTCTCAGGTCTTCTGGGACTGGTCAGCTTTCTGTCCCCAGATTCAGAACTAAACATGGAGAAGCAGCGTTCAGTTATTATGCTCCAAATATCTTGAACAAACTCCCAGAAACCTGCAGGTCCGCTACAACTCTGACTACTTTTAAATCCAGGCTGAAGACTTTTCGTTTTGCCGCTGCTTTTAATTCAACTATTCACATCTTACACTGCACTGTAGCTTTTATTCATCTATTTTTGCTTTTAATGTTTATTTTATTATCTTTGCTTTTTAATGACTGATTTTAAATGCCATTTTCTTAATATCTTTCATTTTTGTAAAGCACTTTGAATTGCCTTGTGTTGAAAGGTGCTATATAAATAAACTTGCCTTGCCGTGGTCGTAAATGTTATATGGCCAGTTAAACATTAATGGATGTTTTTACAAACTTGTGGTGCAGTACTTTTGAACCAACACAAAGACACTCATCTCTTATTAAGAGGAGCTTCCCTGCAGTCACACCCTGAGAACTACCTAACAGTCATCAACATGGCAGATTTTGGAGAGATCCTGAAGAACATTGGAGAATTTGGTTTATTCCAGCAGATCACTTTGATTGCACTTTGCCTTCCAAATTTCCTGCGGTCTTTTGTCATGGCAAGCTTTGTATTTATTGAGTCAGATCCAGATAGACACTGTAACACAGACTGGATCCTTCGGGCAGACTCTAACCTGACCACAGATGAGCAGCTGAACCTGACTCTGCCCCGAGAGGATGACGGGACCTTCAGCAAGTGTCAGATGTTTGTCCCTGTGAACTGGTCCATTGGTTCCATCAGGGAGTACGGACTCAATGAGACCAGAGGGTGCCAGAATGGATGGGTGTACTCCAACATGCTGTACGAAGCCACCATAGTTACTGATGTAAGTAGCTTATAGTAGTGTATTCAAGCAGAATTATGATATTAAATTAACAAATTAACTTCATGAGTTATTTAATTGAAACATTTATGTATTTATTTTTAACAGTTTGATCTAGTTTGTGACAGAGCTAACTTGATGGAATTGATACAAGCAATGTTCATGGTTGGCGTTGTTTTTGGTTCCCTCATATTTGGACCTTTTGCTGAATCGTGAGTATTTCATATCATACAGATAAAAAAATGAGTTTATGGTCTATGATATGAAGAATAATTATCAAACTGTGATCATCTTAATGCTAAGTCCTTTTATGCATTGATGCTGCAAATGGCAATTATTCACTGTTCAGTAACAGGGTCTACTGTCTAGCCATAAAGTTGAATTGTCTTCATCTTTTTCTCTTGCAGGTTTGGTCGCAAACGATCAACTCAAATTTCAGCAGTTATGTTGTTCATCTTTGTTGGAGCAGCAGCACTTTGTCCCAATGTTTACTTGTATTTAGTGTGCCAGTTCTTTGTTGGAGCAGGAAGTGGAGGATATCGAATCAACTGTGTTGTACTGTGTATGTATACTGAGTTCATACATAATTAGAATAAGGACGAGACCCTAACTGTTTATAAATCTTAGGTATATTACCGAAATATAACATAATCCTACCTTCAAACACAAAAGTGACAGGATTTAATAGGGTTGGTCTGCTGTGACGCTATTAGCGTTAGCATGTCCGGCTAAGCAGCCCACCACTTAAAGCATGAACAAAGCATTAGTAAACAAAGCCAGTGAGGACACCATTGACTATGTAGATTACCTACATTTTGGGGGTGAAAGTGTATGTAAAAAATGAGTTATTTGTAAGCAACACTGCAACACACAAGGACAATACTGTCACTTTTTTTCCAAACGAAAGATTATGGAAGCTGACTTTTAACCTACAGGATAAAGTGTAGCTTTTCGCTCAGTTGTTTACTCAGCTTCAAATTAACTTGGCCATCAACTGCATATTTAAAGGGTTCCCATTTGAATGATAGTCTAGGTAGTGTTTTCAGCCAAATCATACTAATGTTAGCAACAGTAACAGGAACTATGGGTATATAGTTAAAGTTCTAAGTATTCAAAACACTCCAAATATTTGACTGCTGCAATATACAACAATTATTTCTATTTTGCAGCAACTGAGTGGATTGGGGCATTGAAAAGATCATGGGGAGCATGTGTGCCTCAGCTTTTTGCTGCAATGGGACAGTGCGCCCTGGCTGGTGTAATCTACGCCATACGTCACTGGAGACTTGCTCAACTTATCACAGCAGCTAACTATGCAGTAGTTGTTATCTACATATGGTGAGCATTTACCCTTTGTATAACCTTTCATTGTTTTATTCGTATACGATGTACACTATTTGAACTGGCATTTTCCTTGTTTCTTTGAGGTTTATACCGGAGTCAGCCAGGTGGTTGTTAAGCAGAGGAAGGACAGAGGAGGCTAAACAGCTGATTATCAAGGCAGCAGCCATCAACAAACGCACTGTTTCAGACTCTCTGTTGGAAAAGGTATTGAAAATAAAAAATAGAGGTTGCAATTCTAATGCAATAATATTCATGTCAAATTCAGTGAACATCACATACACCACACATTCAATTGCGCCTTAATGCATCGACACTTTGAACAAGTACCAGGGGCCTCACAAGACATAACCCTTAAATGACGTTTATATATATATATATATATAACTGAGTGCAGTGGAAAAGTACCAGAAGATCCATTAAGTGCTGTTCCTGTGTTGTAAAAGAAAACATTTCTACATACTGAATCCATGCATGCAAGTGTTACCATGCCAATCATCAAAGTCAACCTTCATTTTAAGTTTCACGTCTATAAAGTTGTGTTACTGCAACTTGCATGTTTTTCACACATAGACATCTATCTTTTGATAGTTCATTGTTTATTCATGTTTTCTTTGCCAGTAAATGAAATGTTGTTTCTATTTTTTATTATTATTATAAATGTGTCTTTGAAAGTCATAATCTTTTTCTTATAACAAACGGATAATACCGAAATACCTATTGCTAATTTGTGGTAAAGCTTTTAGCAGACCTGTTTTCAGTGAAATTAGCTGATATTTAAATGTATACTGCTTGTGTGTAGGTAACACAGTTGCATAAATAATATTTCTGCCACAGATTGCAATAAAAGAGCCGGAAAACAAAGGAGGCATCAAAACTATTTTCAGATCACCTCAACTGACCAGATATTTTTTCATTATAGCATGGGGATGGTAAGATACATTTTAATTTAATCTTTTATTTATTTACTAAGTAGTAAATACAATCTGAGGTGAAATATCTAAATACTAGATATTCAAATGTATGACAGTTCTTTAATAATACTGAACACTTGTATCAGGCTCTAACCTTTTATTTATAGTAATTTCATAGTAGAAGAAATGTTTAGCATATGTATTGATAATGTTAAAATATAAATAGAGTGGTGCAGGAATGAGTCCTGAAACCCAGAATGTATGTCAATGGTTTCTTAACGTGTTCTAGATGCCTGAAAACAGATCTGAGGTTTACACAAGCTTAAAGATGGGGTAGGTAAGTTTGAGAAACCGGCTCGAGATACACTTTTTGTTATATTCCATGGAATGCTCTTAACATCCCGATAGCAATGAATATCTTAAGTGCTTTGACAAAAAATCCATTAAAAAATGTCATCTGTGGAAGCCGTAGCGCTGTAAAAAGCACGACCAATCATTTTAGCCGGGCCGGCTAATATAACTGGATGGCCTACCTGCCTGTCAGCCTTTCATCTGTGCACAAACTTATCTCGTGCCCTCATTGGTCATGTGCGCGTTCGTGTGTTGGAGGAGGGGCTCTGTAAGGAAGTGGCAGATTTTTTCCGGTTGTGTATTTTCAAATTCTAGCGCACTCAAGATGGTTTCTCCAAAATTACCTACCCCACCTTTAATGGAAATTCACTTTTGTTCTGCAACATAAGATGGCAATGGCACATTTCTCACTCATGTATATCCAAAGGTTCTGTAATGGGCATTGCTTACAAGTGACTAAAAGAGACTGCGCCCAGCAGGAGTCCGCCTTTAGCTTAGCGGTGGTGTCACACAGACTTTCGACTGTGATGTAGTTTGTTTATAAAGTTAGCTTTTTACTTCTAGCGATTGAATTATTACGCTTCAAAAAGCATAAAAGTGGTGTTGATATGTGGAGATTATCTTGCTGAACAAAACGTGTAAGTAATATGGACATTTGTTTACCACAGATCTTATTTTCTGCCATGAAAAAAAAATCCAATGGAAAAATGTAATTGGACACCTTGCAATTCTTCCTTTTTGCACCGACCTCCAAAAATCCGTCATCACTTCATTAGGCGCGTTCATACCGCAGTACTTTTACCACAAAGGTTCATCAGAACTTAGTTCATGAGAACTCTTTAGTTCTCATGAACTAAGTTCAGATCGTGTTCACACCATAGGTTCACACCGGAATAAGTTCCTGGGGAAGGATTAGGCAAATGAAACCGCTGACGTCACTTCTTCTTCTTCTGCTTTGGGTTTACTGGCAGGCCGCAAACAACTTCACGTGTATACTGCCGCCGGAAGTCCCCGGCCGGAAGTCCCCGGAGTTGGGGACAGCCTTCCGAGTAAATCACCAGAACGCCGACACCTCCTCATCTCCACCGCTCACATGTTTTCTTTTTTATTGCCATAAGTTAGTCTCTCTGCGTTTCTGCGCTGGGCTAATGCTAATAATAAAATGGCGGCTTCACAAAACTTTTTGGGAGTTTTACGGGGCGTGGTTTGCATACCGCCCAGCCAATCAGACATTGGAACCTTTTTCTCCCACGAAAGTACCTGCTCTCTAGCAGGGACTGAAAACTGACGGAAAAGGGGGTAAAAAGGTTCTCATGAACACATTTTTGTTCCGGCTCTTTTTGGTGTGAACCTCTATGGTGTGAACGCGACATTTCGGAACTATATCGGAACTAAAGTGGGAAAAGTACTGCGGTGTGAATGCGGCTAATGGCAATGAAGGCAATGAGAATAAATGACCAATATCAATTCTTGAATAAGCAAACAACTGTTTAAAAATGTATGTATGTTTTATGAATGTTTAATAATGCAGGTCATCTTCGTTTTTTTTCTTGTTTTTCAAGTTTTTCATTGAACCTAACCTTGTTCTCCCTGTACTTGAACATGAGAAACATTGGCTTCAACGTCTTCTTGACACAGCTCATGTTTGGTGCTTTTGAAGTGGCAGCTAATATACTCTCCATGTGGCTAATGGAGGTTTTTGGGCGAAGAATTTCACTCATATCAACATTTGTGACGGGAGGACTATCCAGCATGTTTATCCTGGCTGTTCCTCAAGGTAAACCATTTGGTTTATATAGCCAAATGACAGTATCACATACCCTTTCCCACCAAAGCCGTTCCCAGGCCAGTTCGGAGCTAGTGCCCAATTAAGAACTAGTTCTTCCTATTTCCACCGCAGCGGGGCTGGCTCTTGGCCCCGTAAAAATATTTCTTAGCTGGCTCCACTCGACTGCCAGTCAAGAACCGAAAACCGAATACCTCAGCCAGGGGCGAGATTAACCTGGGCAATAACAGTTCATGGCGAGTAACACGTTCAATGTTATTTTCCATTAGGAAGATCAGGCATACGTTTTGTTGTTATTTGTATTGCAGCAGCTATCAGGCTTAACAGGTTGCCATGTCAGACTATCATAAGTAAAATCATAATGAAAAATACCCTGGTGAAAAATGCCTGTAGAAAACGGCTTGTGATAGCAACAAGATCGTCAGATTAGCTTTGCTTGCTATGCTAATATCACCCATCTAATACCAGAGAAACTTTTATGATGCCATAATGATTCTAAACAGTGACAATTCACATGCACTTATGGGGATGGGGGATATGCCTCTGTGGAAGTTGCTAGTGTGACAGTATACTTTCAAGCAGGCGCTGCCGTGAATAAACGGCAGATTAAACGCCGGTGGACGAGCAGTGTATCACTGCAGCGGTCGGTAAATTCCACTGAACCACATTGGTAAAAAATGAACCACTGCACTCTAATTGAATCTAATCTGGCTTCAGATGATTAAAAGCAACACGAGCAACGAGCCGACGCAGTCCACCATTGTTGTTGTTCGAAGCTGTTTTGCCAACAAAATCAGCGGCGTAAACGTCGATGTCATGACACAGCACCTGTCGGGCTCTGGGCGGTGGTAACACAACTGGGGCCAAAAGGCGAACCAGTTCGGAACCAGAAAAGCACAAGCACAGAGCCTAATTGGTAACTGGTTTGGTAGGAATGCGGTACAAATGTCCTTTTTATATTTGTTTAACAGTTTTTTGTTTATGTTTTCAGGATATGCCATTGCTGTTACATCTTTAGCTGTCGCATCTCGTTTCTTTCTGATCTGGGCTGCTACTGTATGTTCCGTTTATTTGCAGGAGTTGTTTCCAACATCTGTTAGGTAGGTGTTCAAAGTTTATATTTTAGCCTTTTGTTTTTTTGTGCAAACTTCCAAGACCGGGATACAGAACCCGGTACATATAAAGTAAATGACCTTATGAACCTGATGGAAATCAAGTGATCTGTTTGTTTGATTGGGAAGTATATTACTGTTATAACTCCCACCCCTCTTTCAGACAAACAGCAACAGCTTTAGGAGCCATGTCAGCAAGAATAGGAGGGGTGATGTCTCCACTGCTCAACATGTTGGTCGTGTTCCACTGGTCCATACCCCCTGCTGTCTTTAGCAGCTTTACGCTGATCGCTGGAGCGCTCGGCTTCCTGCTCCCTGAGACCAGGAATAAAGAACTTCCTGAGTCAGCCGATGAGGTCGAGAACAACAGGTAATATGTTCCATCGGTATTAGACAAGATGATATCTGTTACGTTTCCTAATTTTACCGCGGATAACTCATAGTCATGCATCTATCTATCCTGCTTCTTTCAGAAATGTTACTTCCAGAAGAACATCCTCCAGTCTCAATCAAGAATCAACCAAGATGTAGACCTGTGTCTGATGGTTTATTCTTTAACAGTGTAATGAATTTGCTTTAAAAAGTACAGCTTTCATCAGATATAAAAAAGTTATCATTAATCAAAAGGTTCCCCTGCATAAAGAATAACTAAAAATAACAACATTGTGACTCTGTTCTTTCATCCATAATTCCTGCATTTTAATAACATTGCTCTATTTCTCACTTCTATATCATGATTTCATGATTTTAAAACACTATTATCCTGATAATGGCAATTTACGTTATTGTTGTTGTTGTATTGTTCCACTGGGTGTCTGCAGGGATGGCACAGGGTGGTACGAATTGTGTCTCATGAATTTGCATAGTTCTTTGATGGTCTCCGACTCAAAGTCCCGTTCTGTTTGCTGAGCAGATGACTGAGGAACCTCAAGTCGACAATTGCATTTTCAAACACAAAGCTTTTGCAGTCGTTTTTGCTTTTTGGTCCTTTTTCAGCCCTGCCGCAGCAAAAGTCTTGAGTGTTTGGCTTGACAGACTGATCATCTATAGACACAGGTGGTCTTGACTGCCAACAAGTTTGTAGCTCTCGAGGAAGCTAAGGCCCAACAGTTCTGCTTTGCGCAGCTAGCGAGCTAACATGACATGTTAACGTTTCAACCTACAGCTGATTACAATCATTCGGTTTCTTGAGTGAGAAATGCATGTTTTAGTAATATTAAGAAATATAATTTGGGTTTGTGGCTGCTACTGTATGTGATGATAGCTTTACGCTGTAGCCTCAATATATACTCCAGTTCAACAAATCATATCGTAATACCTACATGAACGTTATCTCTAGAACCATTGTAAAATGTGACATTATATTTTTAAGATACACACACCTTTGTTGTGAGGTTAATTCCCCTTACAGGCCATCATTTTGAACATTGCATTGACGTCAGTTAGTATATTATTTTACCGATAGTTAGTCTATCATGGTGAGTTTAACGGTAACCTTGCACAAACTTCACCTATCTAAGATTCTACCCATCTAAGTTATGTGGAAGACCTTCATTTTCCGACCTCACAGACAAGTTAATATAAACACTTCTCTAGTACTTTTGAACTTTGACCTTCGTGGACAGACTGTTTAAACCACACAGTGAGCTGCTAGATGAGGACGGTAATTGCTTGTAAGATTTTCCAGAAGTCCCCAACACCACATACACGGCAGATAGTTTAAGTTCTGTGCTCTATTCTCCGCATGAGCACTTGCGTATGAGCTTCACCGCTTTGCCCTGAAGTTTGCCACTTTTTTGCCGGTTTTTTCGTGACTTCAGTTCTAGTCAGTTTTTGTTTTGTGTCTCAGGCTCAACTCCTTCTGCCATAAGGGGAAAAACAAAACAAAAATTAAATTATCCTTAGTGAGGTGTCCTTTAACTTTGTTCTTACTGCAAACACAAATTCACATTTCAACATCAACTATATTAAGGAACCCACATCACGAATACAGCTCCAAACATTGCTGTAAGTTCCCAAATTAAATAACCCCTAGTTGTGGAATTGATACAAAATGTGTAGCCTACCTCAGAAACTCAGTACCCTATATTTTTCCATTTCAAATTATGTTTTCGGCAGGAGGTTTCTTTTTTGTTTATTTAAACACTAATTTCCTGTGGAACACAAACAACCATTGCCTAATATTTTTGGACACCAAAAACAGACAATGTGCTCTCTAATAAATGTACAGTTAAACATAGACCTATAAAATAAACGTTAATGACACTTTGCCATGCAAGATTTCATCAAAAAATGTCATGGGATACTTAGATTTAAGTACTTTTATGAGTTACACATTGCAATACAATAAAACAACGCTGTAATGTTTAATCTTTTACGAGGCTCAAATTCCCTGTATCCACAGTTTAGCTTCATGATTGGCTAGCTTATCTTTAGTTAAAAACAGCTTGAAGCAAAGCGTGTCTGTAGCTTAATAGCAACTTAAGATGTTTTCCAAATGGCACTGTTAGTTTGGTTGGGGGCGAGGGATATCCTGAGGGGGATCAAAGATGCAAAAATTGGAACTGTCCTGAATTTTCCCAAATACCAAATTGTGTCCTGTTTTTTCAGATAAGACTAAACCAGAATTCATGTTGCTCTGTACAGTAGCACCACAAATTCATAAGCAACAAGGAAAGTTAAACCCTCCATGATGACATTGAGTGTGATGTCTCAGGACCTGGTGAAATTCAAGCCAAAACATCTCAAATATTACTGCGGATAGTGAGGTGCAGGGAGGGAAAACCTGCACTAAGAGTTCAAGCACTAACTTGAACTATCTGCCGTGTATGTGGTGTTGGGGACTTCTGGAAACTCTTACAAGCAATTACCGTCCTCTCCTTGCAAGAAAAGAATGCAACTTTGAGTATTGCTAAAAAAAAATTGCACTGAATATTTATTATATACACTTAATCGTCCCACAGAGGGGACATTTACATTCTGCATTTTATCCATCCCAGTGTTAGGAGCATTAGGCTGCCATTAAGTACGGTGCAGTGTAGAGAACGGTGCCTTGCTCAGGGACAGTGAGCACTTGGTCTTTCGGGGACTTGAACCCCAAGGCAAGTCCCTATGGACTTCGCCACCACCGCCCAATATAATATAATGGACTGGAGGCCGCAAGAACCCCCAGAACTCCCAAGACACAAGCTTTACCCATCATCATCTGGTCACACTAGATATTCTCTGCATTAGGGAAAACCAAAATAACAGGTGGAACTTCCCTCTCAGTTTAAGCGTGGAATAAGTTAGTTTTAGTTTTTAGAGTTGATTGTGAAATGTAAACTGACTGTTTGGCCATGTGGAACATCTAATCTTGTTTAATGTTGGCCTTATTTGCAATAGTAGGGAAATTACTGGATATCTTTGACACTTGAGTGGTGTGTATGTGTATACAGTATGTGTATATTGAGAATTAAAACATTATTGTGATGCAGCATCTCGTTATTAAATGGAAAGGCTTTTAGAAAGGAGATCTTGAAAGGAGATATGTGCAGGCCCCGGTCTATGGCTGGCACAGCAACACTATGGGGGGCAGTGTGCTGTGTTCTTGAATATACTTTGTCTAGTTAAACATTAATGGATGTTTTTAGAAACGTGTGGTGCAGTACTTTTGAACAAACACAAAGAGGCTCATCTCTTAATAAGAGGAACTGTCCTGCAGTCGCACCCTGAGAACTAGAAAGGTCATCAACATGGTCGATTTTGGAGAAATCTTAAGGAACATTGGAGAATTTGGTTTATTCCAAGAGCTCACTTTGATCGCACTTTGCTTTCCAAATCTTCTGCAATCTTTTATCATGGCAAGCTTTGTATTTATTGAGTCAGATCCAGAGCGACACTGTAACACAGACTGGATCCTTCGGGCAGACTCTAACCTGACCACAGATGAGCAGCTGAACCTGACTCTGCCCCGAGAGGATCACGGGACCTTCAGCAAGTGTCAGATGTTTGTCCCTGTGAACTGGTCTGTTGGTGCCATCAGGGAGTACGGACTCAATGAGACCAGAGGGTGCCAGAATGGATGGGTGTACTCCAACATGCTGTACACCATAGTCACTGATGTAAGTAACTTAGACCCTCCAGAAAAACGAAATTGCGGGAAGTTGCTAATTATGCGGAAAGTTGCGAAATATTCTAAAAAATATATTTAAATATTGGGCTGTCTTATTTATTCTCTCTCACACACAACCTGCCACTAACGTTAAACACCTTTACTATTCAATTAAACACATGAAATGTTTATTTATTGTAAAAGCAATTGGGCTATTTTAATCACACACACACACACACACACACACACACACACACACACACACACACACACACACATACACACACTTCTCCGCCTCATTCTGTTTTCATTTACTTGTTCGTTATCTGACCAGGTTCAATCTTGTAGGCTACTCACTTTGTTTCTTGTAGCCCTCGAAAGGGTTTTGGAGGTTGATGCCTCGGTGAACGTGAGTTGTTTGGCTTTCTTGTCCGCAGCAGCAGAAAGCATTTTCGAATGTTTGAATGAATCAAAGTGGGTCGTCACCGTCGATTTTCTCTTATGCTCCAACACAGTTGCACGGGGTGCAGAATAGTTTCCCCCCACTTTCGTGCAAGACATCGGGGTACTGCTTTGCCTGGTCTTTAGCAGAAATGTTCGTCGGTAAATGAGATGGATTAGATTTTTTCATCTTGGTGTTTTCTCTCTTGTGTGAGTTCCACACGTTCACTACGGTGTTGTTTACCTTCTGTGATGCGCGAGCTGATGACGTCGCGTCATCATCATCATCATCATCATCATCACTACTTCACTTCAAGACGAGTTAACTTTTTTTTCCTCAATTTTGTGTGGAATAATGCGGGGATTATGCGCCCTTTTAATAATCTGCGCCATTTTGCTGATTATGCGGTAAATTATGCGATCGCATAATCGCGTTTTCTGGAGGGTCTAGTAACTAATACATGTATTAAAGCTCACCTATTATGCTATATTTGAACAATATATTATAGGGCCATATCTATACAAACATATCAAACAGATCACCGATTGTAGCCATGCCTCATACCCCTCTATTTGAGCCCTGTTACAGAAGCGCTGATTCTGGGTCTGGCCCTTTAAATGTAACCGAGCTGCTGCTGGCCACGCCCCTTTGGAGCATCCTCATGCAAGCGGTGAGCTCTGTGAAGAGAAGGCTGTCTACCGACAGAAAATCAGCTAAACGCTGCCATGATTAAACGCCATATTATGTTCCAAACCTCATCAAGCATTATTTCTGAAACAGTATGGAGCTCAAAACGCTATCTCTCTCGCGGGTTTTTTGCCGCAAGGAAAGTACTTTTTATATCCGGCTTCTTTACACATATTCTCTCCAGTACAGCGTTAGCTCTGAGTGTTAGCGATGCTTGCTAACGTAAACGCGGATCATAATCATCAAGTCTGTTGGTGCAGAAGCATTAATAGCACGTCGGAGGCTGAAACCCGGAGCCGTCCCCTCCATATTTCAGCACAAGAAACCACTGAAAGAACGAAAGAGCCGGGCGATGCAGAAACGCCAAAGAATTGAGGTAAACAACTT